AGGACACTAGGATTTCTCATAGTATTCAAGGGTAGATGTGCCCTACAAACCTTAGAAGGGCAGAGGAAGTTCTAGAACCAGAGCCTCTGAAGGACTTTCTCTATCTCTTGTGTTTGCTTCTTTCTGAACATCAGCTTTATTCTTATCTCCCTGCCCAGTGGCTTTCTCTACTACCTAATCTACAGTCTTGAGCTTTACCCCTCCTCTTGGTCCCACTTCCTATTCTGGGGGAGACCCTGATTGGCTCCACCTGGTCCAAGCAAGGGTGGGACCTGGAACCCATCCCTGTGGACTATGAGGAGAAACACCAGCTTCCAGAGAGGGAAACCCCAGAGTGTTGCTACTGTGGTATACACACAAGATTTAAATATACTAGGACATTTACAGAGGTTGTCTCAAGGTAGTGAAACTAAAAATTATTTTTAGGAAATTTAGCACATATTACTTTATAATAGAAAAATCTATTAAGCTTGCCATGGCTAGGCTATGATTGTTATTAGGCCTGGGGTGAGCAGAACTCTTCTCCATTTTGGTTCTCTCGATGAGGGCCATCACAAAATACTACAGCTTGGTGGTACTTGTTTTTGGTAATGAATTTTATCAAGTTGTTTAAGGAAACAGATAAGTCTCAGTTAATCACAGGACCAATTTAAGCTCTCAAACTCTAGCTGTAGCATAAAAATCCTTCCTTCTTTTTGGTTAACTTCGCCTTGACCCATTGAATCTATTTCAGTTTTCATTTTCCCAAGAATTAATGCTTGGGGGTGAGGACAGAGGTTACCTTTCTTGTGGGAAAGCTAAAATTGAATTGTGTCTCTACCTCGACTCACTCGTGCAGTCTACAAGACAAAGGCAAAATTGTTCAGCACCACGGAGAGCGTTTTTCATCCTGTCAACCAGATCAAGGGCAGGTGAAAAGATGCTAGAAGCCCAGCCAGTCTGATCTCCTTACACTTCCGGCTAGTCATCAAGTACCCCCATTCCCCTCAACCTCTTACTATTCAAACCCTTCCTTTACCTATCTAGGCTTTTAGGAATGAACTCCCTTAACTTTCTACCCGCCTTTCTGCCTCCATGTTATTTGCATCCCTCACTCATATTCACCCATCTTCCATTTCAGTAAGTAGCCTTCCTCCTCTGGTCCAAGGCTCTGTTTCCATCTCCTCCTCACAGACCATGACCTACGAAACATCTCCTTTTCTACCTAGCTTCCTTCCCCTCCATCTAGGACATTGGTCAGGTGTCCCACAGTTTCAAAGAAATTCTTCAACTCCAGAGTTCCCTCTGGCTGTCATTTATTCTCATTCCTTCTCTTCTCCATCTAGCTCCTTGAAAAAATATTCATGTTCACTGTTTCTGCTTTCTCTTTTCCTATTCCTTCCTAAATCCTCTATAATCTGGATTCTGTTCCTACTCTTCAACTAAAACTTTTTTGAGGCCACCTATGACTTCCTTATTTCCAAACATTGTCTGTATCTTCTGGGACTCAACTGGTTTTTTGACACTGTTGATAATTATTGGGAGCTCCCTAAGGATGGGGCTCTTTTCCATTTATATTTATGAACCACAGGCCTGCCATTGATAAATAACTGAAGAAAATGTTGCATGTTAGAGTAAGGAGAGAGAGAAGGCAGAATGCTCCCTGGTCAGGCCCCTCCTCATCCTGTGGAGGGAGTACTTTTTCCATAAATACCTCCCCACGTAATCTAGGACCCAACCTGTGTGATGCTAGGGCTGCATCTGTGAGCCAGTCACCCCTAGAACATACTGTCCATGATTGTGTGGGCCTTATGGAACCTGTACTAATAACTTTATAACTAGCACAGATGTATTACTCAATATGTACTATACTGAAGTGCTTACATATATTAACTCATTTTAACCTCACAAGAACATTTGACATAGGTATTAAAATTAGTCCCATTTATAAATAAGGAAATGGACACCCAGGACACCTAAATGGAGGTGGACATCTCAAGATAAATAAACATTTTAAAAATTAAAAAAATATATAGTTGCATGCTCTGCTGACTGACCCTGTCAGGCACCTCAAATTAATGGATTTTAATTTTTTTTTTAAGCAGGAGAACTGTTTCTCCAACCAAAATTTTATAGAAAGGCTAGTATATAAATGAAATAAAAGAGTATCTCCATTCTCCATACTCTTGCTTCGCTCTTGGACTCAGCCCCACCCACGGCACAGGGTTCAGGGAACACAGTTTAATGAAAATCACTGGACCAGGCTAACTCTAAGGATTCTCCTAGCACTTTTGCCTTCCTCTAATTATACTGGCTTTGCACTGGCCATTAGCCTATATATCCTGTCCCAGAAACAGTGAGACTGGGCTATTAATCATTTCTGCAGTCTGTGGAGAATTTGTTTGAAGGGTTGCAGAAACATGGGTTGCTGTTAGAGATGCATTTCAATGTCTGTCTCTGCTGAGTGTTTAATAATTTTGCTAATCCTCATTCTAGTTCCTGGATCTAGCTAACTCCTGTCAGATGTCCTTGGGGGGCATTTTAAATTCTCCCTGATTTCTTGGAGCCAGACATTTCCTTCTGCCTGGATTTTCTCTGATACTTAACATTCATGAATATTTCACATTTAACCTGATTACATTTCCATGTGATGGTCATGGTGCATTGACTGTATTTCTCAGGGAAGACATACAGAAAGCCCACAGTAAAGGCTTGAATTTTCAGGCACAGTGCCAGATACCTTTGTTCTTGCCATTAAGATGGCCTATCATGGCCAGTGACAGGTGAGATGCTGTATGGTGGACTTTGCACAGGACTTCTCAAGCTTAGGGTTCTGCACCCTGGCTTATAACCCAAAGGAACTGGTGGTTTCTCTCAGGGATCAAAAGCCACCAAGACCTGCCCAGTGGTGGCAAGGACCAAATGTGGCTCTCTGTGACCAGAATTGCTCAACAGCTTCCCAGGCCCCACTCAAACTCTATCCTCTGCATAGTCTCCTTCCAATATTACCATTTCCATCCAGTACCTCCAGCCTGAGAGAAGCAACTCTGATGAACTCACCTGGACTGAAGAGGGAGAGGTGCCTGAGGGGTTCATGTGTTTAAAGTCAGCCCCAGGGAAAGGACAGTGAGACTTATATGGATTGATGGGAGCGTTACGGAGAAGATGCATGATTGGGAAGTCCATAGATTTAGAATGTTAATGCAAACTGTAGAAGACATCGGGGCTCCCCAAGGAGAGAGAGGTGGGCTGAGGGCAGGACTCTGTGGAAGAGACAAAGGGCTGTGGGACAAGATGAAAATGATGGTTAAGGAGGCAACATGAGTGAAGGAGAACAGTGTCCTCAAAGCCAGAAGAGGAAACCATATCCAAATGGATGGGATATGTGTATCATGTGAGAAGTGCTACAGAAAAAGTAATGTGACTAAGGAAATTGGAAAGGTGCCAATGCTTCCCTGGTAGGGTCCCTCAGGCATGTTTATTGGCTTTACCCTTTAAGAAGCCATCAGTCTGCTTTGAGAGTGAGTCCTAACTATGGCCTAAGGGGAAAGCCAGAACCCAGCTGTCAAGTCTTCATGCCCCCTGCAGGTAGCACCTCAGAGCTGTTTTGGCTGCAGAGAGGTATGTCAGGGCCACTAGAGGCCTGCTTCTCCAAGTTTTCAGGGGACAAGGGGACAAGTGCTATCCATAAGGAGTCTCTCAAGAAGGAACTGAGACAAGGAAGCAGAGAATAAAGGATTGGAGAGGACTGCAGCATGAGAAGTTGCCTGAGATGGAGGCACTGCAGCACCCCACTTTTTCTGAGCCCTGTCCCCTACAATACCAGCTAAAGGGTGGGGGTCAGAGTAGAGGAGAGAGGCCCAGGTTCTGCCCTCAGGAGGTCACATACCACTGTGGTGACAACAGCCCATCCAGGGTCTCTCTGGATGGCCTGAAGGAACACAGGCAAGGCCAAGATTTCCCTCCCAAACATTCTAGACTTTTTCTTTTCCCCTTGATGACAAGCATGTTTTCATCCCCCCATCTCATTCTAAATGCAACAGAAGCTACCATAATGGTTATATGTCCTTCCCTTGCTGGGTCACTCAGATCCCTGAACCTGACACTGTAGGACCAATCCTGGGGCATTCTACCTGTCTGTCTGCTGTCTGCATATCCAGAAGCAGAACAGGCACAGCCTTGGGTACACTGTGCAATTTTCAGACCTTGGGCATACCATTCTTTAGTCCTAGGCAGTTTCTCAGGGAGAATGTGAATGACTCCAGCCCCTTCCAACGGACTAAAGCAGGGTAAGCCAGGGCCCTAGACCTTGTAGTAGAGGTTTGGCATGTTTTAGAGGAAACAGTGAGGCTGGATTACTGAGCAGCATAAGACTAACTGGTCACCAGCTAATTTGCTTGTTATTCATCTTCTAACCTACCATGCCCGGCCAACATTTCAGGTTCTCCAGGGGATACTGTTTAGGACTTATCTGTGAAATGGAGAAGTCCTCATGAGAATTCTTTTTGTCCAGTGGCTGCAGCCTTAAAGTCTGGCCTGGCTTGCCCAGTCACTTCTCTGGATCCTGTGAAGGGACCCATACAATGCTAGAAAAAGAAAGTCTATCTTAGGGAGCATCTACTCTGACCTTTATCCAGACTTAAACTCATAGCAACCTGAAAATACCTTACCAAACAACTGCATAAGAAGAGCTCTGAAGAACAGGGCAATTAGTATGGGAGGTTGAACAAAGAGATCCTGTGGGTTAAAGGAATCACAGTAGGCTTTCTAAGAGGAGGCTGGATCACACAGGACTTTGAAGAAAGACACCCAGGTGAGTGTAAGTGGGGCTGAGATTCATGGCTCTTTACTCAGTTCAGGGTCTTCCTTCCAGGGTGTATGGGTCTGCCCTTCTCTCCTCAAATCACCTGCCTACTTCCAGGGGTTAATGCCCCCAAAGTATGGGTGGGAGGGCCAGCTTCAGGGCTGAGAGCAGCCCCTTTTCACTTCCTAACAATTCTGTCTCTGCTTTCTCCTCACAGGACCCAGCCGCCGCCTCCATCTCAGACGGGGACTGTGACGCCCGGGAGGGTGAGTCAGTAGCCATGAATTACAAACCATCCCCGCTCCAAGTGAAGCTGGGTGAGTGTGTCTGGGGGGTGAGGGAGATGTGGGGAGTGGACAAGGTGCTCTGGGCTGGGTCTGCAATGAGGTGGCACAAATAAACCAACTCAGACTAGATGATTCCAAGACTCAAGCCACCAAGTCATTGGCACTACCAGACACCTTATCTCCTGCAAGGCAAAGAAGGAAGTCATAGTCCTCTGCAGTGCCTGAAGCTCTAGGAGGCATCTCTGAGGCCAAGAAGACTCCAGGTGTTCCAGGGATAGCTCCCATGGAACCCCAGATAGAGGATTAGAAGTTCCACCAAACACTACACAAGGCTGGGAAGAAGCTGCCTTAGAAGCAGGGTGTCAGTTACTATGTTTAAGGGGTAGAAAGGAGTAAGGATCCCAAAATCTAGAAACTGAGATCCTTTCCCCATTTCTTCCTCACCCATCCGGAGATCTCAAGGTCTAGTTGGCTCCTTTTTGGAGGGGGGTTTCCCTTGGTTTTTTAGTAAGCCCAAATATCTCTGTACCCCCTTACCCTTGGGGGTTTATTTCATGTCCACTCTGAAATCAGTCTCTGTTGCAGCCTGCTTCTTTGAAGTCACTTGGCTCCCAAGCACTGCCCCTACCTCCTGCAGCTGCTGTTCTCACTTCACCCTACACCTAACACTGCCTTTCTCCCTTCAGGGACCAAAATTTTGCTCACCAAAGGCTGCTGCTATAACAGACTTACTAAAATTTGGTTTCATGAAGAGGAATTACAACACAGTGCATCCAGGAAGGAGTTTATAATTAAATACAACATATCAGTATCCTTCAAAACTTCTCTGCCATCCCTGCCATCCTTTTGGCCATTTTCTCCTCAGACTCCAGCTGCCCGCCAAATACTGGACCTTTCCTCGGTCCTGGGAGCCTTTCCCCATTCATTGTGAAACTTCTCCCTCTGGAGCTGCCAGAACTCCTTTTCACAGAATACTATTCTTTTATTCAGCTTTGGGGTTTTTGTTGTTGTTGTTGTTCTTGTGGTGTGTGTGTGTGTGTGTTTGGTGTATTTTTGTTTTTGCTTTTGTTTTGTTTTTGTTTTTTACCTTGCTTCTCTCATTCCAGACTATATCCAGGGATCTCCTCATGCTGTTTTTCTAAACAAGAGAACAGTTCTCTCAGTGGAATTTGTTCATCTTCCCAAGACACCAGACTCAAACTTCAACCAGTTTTATTTGTTCATTACTGTTTAACAAGTATTTTAACTTCTCCTCTTACTCTCCCTCACCACATTCTCCTTCCCAGAGACAATCATTCTAAGCCTTTTTAGTTTTTCTTGTTTTATTTTCTATTTTAACACAAGTGGTATCATACTGTACACATTTTTCTAAAACGTTTTTTGTTTCTGTTTTCCACTTAATGCCTTGGAGCCCCTGCCAATGTCAGTACATAGAGATTAAGTTCACACTTTTTTTTAAGTTTATTTTTTTATTTTGAGAGAGAAAGCATGCACACATGCACACTCATGAGCAGCAGAGGGGCAGAGAGAGGGAAAGAGAATCCCAAGCAGGCTCCACACCCAGCACAGAGCCTGATGCAGGGTTCTATCCCACCACCATGAGATCACGACCTGAGCCAATATCAAGAGTCACATGCTTAACTGACTGACCTACCCAGGTGCCCCTAACTTCACACTTTTAAATGGTTGCACAGTAGTCCATAGTTTGGTTTTTCCAGTTTATTGTTTGCATTTTTTCACTATTTAAAACATGCTTTTAAAATAACACTTTTTTTCCCCTCCCCATTATATTACCACCAAAGCTCCTCATGAAAATTCACGACCTCGTCCCAGTTGGACTCACGATAATCACCACTGGGAACTTTAAGGCAAATTGCACCCCCTAGAGTCATGGAATGGTAATGGCAGCTGCTGCCTGCTGGAAAGAAGCTGGGAAAAAACTGGAATCAGATGAGCAGTGGCAGAGAGAGGGTCAGAGACTGAGATATGAGAGACTAAGAGACATGGAGATCAGGGGAAATTTCAGAGTCACAGTAGCTGGAAATTCCCATTCCATCCTTCCTCTCTGGAGCTAGTAGTTATTTTATGAGAGCTTTCCCCTAGTATCCCTTTCCACTCATCATCCCTTTTTCCACATCTGGGCTTAAGATGAATAGGAAAGGGTAGACAGGCCTCCTTCAGGACCCAGGCAGCTACTGGCTACTGGTAACAGTGCCACATACTAGGCAGAGGGTCACCTGGTGACCAGCTCCATGGATCTGGTAGACTCTAGAGCCTTGGAGAACTCAGAGGCTGGCACCACAGTCAGAAGTATAGCCAGAGGAGCTCCCCAGCCTCCTGCCCCTCACCCAGCTAGCCACATTCTGCCCCTCTCACTCAACAATTTCAGTTGCTCATTTGGCTTCTGCATTAATGCCAAACTCCTGTCTGGCATTCAAGGCCTTCATGCTCTGGGTTGTAACCAGAGCCCCCAACCCCTTAGCACAGGACCTAAGACATAATGGTGATGGATGGTTTTTGAATAAATGCCTGAGTAAATGTATCCTAATTTTCTAACCTGACCTCCCTCCAACTTCACTCCTCCATCCCATCTGGAGCCATACTTATTCTCTTCACTTCTAAATGCATTTTTGTATATGCAATCCCTCCTTCTTAAAATGCCGTCCTCTCTCCTCTGCAAGAAGCCTTGACTTCTCCATCCTTCTCCTTCATCACTCCCTCTCCAGCCTTTCTTTGGCATCAAGCACACACTAACTGCCCCACATTGGAGTACAGCTCCTGGAAGACAGGAGTCAGCCTCTTCCTGTTGCCCCTCACTATCTGCCTCAGGTTGTGCAGGGCCAAGTACTGTCTCCACCAAGCAGCAGGGCCTGGAGTTGGGATCCCTGCCTCAGTTCCTAGAGAAGGTAGGGGTTTCACAATGGAGGCCCAGCCCAGCCAGCCCTGAGCAGTGAGGTAGGGTGGCCCTGGGAGCAGGACACAGCTTCCTTCCCATGTTCTCCTGCAGAGAAGCAGCGGGAGCTGGCCCGGAAGGGCTCTCTGAAGAATGGCAGCATGGGTAGTCCCGTCAACCAGCAACCCAAGAAGAACAATGTCATGGCCCGGACAAGGTAGAGGCCCCCCAATCCCACCTGGACCCTGCCAGTCAACATTTATTTCTGCTGGTCCTACGCTTCTCCTTCTTCCCTCCCTCCTCAGTCCCAGTTCCTCTCTGAGAGGAGAGTCTCAACAGGATCCAAGGGACAGGGGGGAGTGGTGGGTCAGGGCCTAACCCTGTTCCTCACCAGGCTACATGCTCCAGTTGCCAATCCAATCCCCTAAATTTTCTACCCAGGCTTGTCGTCCCCAATAAAGGCTACTCCTCGCTTGACCAGAGCCCAGATGAAAAGCCACTGGTCGCCCTTGACACGGACAGGTGTGTACAGGGATGTTGGGGCAGCCAGGCAAGCCACAGAAACTTGTGTGAACATACAAGTGGGCTGTACAGGCCATACCTGCTATATTGTCAGAACAATTGGGTTGTTCCTCAGATAGCCAGGAGCTCTCCAAGGATGAATCCTCCAGGGAATGGAATTTTTTATCTGGAGATGGGAAGAGCAGAGAGAGGAAAAGGGGATTGGTACAGTCTGATGCTATCCTGGGACAAGTGATCCAATAGCTGCCCCCTTGAATAGGCCCTGATTCGATGTTCCCTGCTGCTGGGAACACACCTGGCTACGCTTGAACTTTGGGAAAACCCAAAAAGCCATGGGGGGTTTGAGACTAGAAAAAAGGTGAGAAGATGGGGGCAAAGGGTGTACAGCTCTATTTAGGAGGAGGTTAAGGGTGGCAATTTTAGAAGGGTGGGGCTAGGGAAGCTGAGCATTTGTGCGGCAAGCACAATTTTTATTTAGATCTGTTATTTGAAAGCATAGGGGAGGGGTATTAGGTATTGACTAAGGGGTTAGGAGGTAGGATGCTGGGAGTTTTAATATTTAATATCAGGGAATCACTACCTCTCTGTCTTCTTTCTTCCATCACCAGCGATGATGACTTTGACATGTCCAGATATTCCTCTTCTGGCTACTCCTCTGCTGAGGTGAGACCCCACTCCTTAGGGCCCTCCACACACCTGAGCAGGACCACCTCCATCCAGAAAAGGGGGTGCGACCAACACCAAATCACACCCTGAGGGGAGCAGTGGACAAAGCTAGGTGGAGCCTCATGGGAGTGGGGCATAATGGGGCAGGGCCTGGGGTGGGACAGTGTCCAAAAGAACCTGGAGGCTGTTAAAACACTGGCCTCAAGTGTGGAGAGCCCAGTTTTAGGGGCAGGGCTTGAGCCTGGGGTTAGAACAGGGTTATTAAACAGAATGGAGTGTGAAATACAGGCTATGCTTTATGGGGGTCAGCCAAATAGAGACAGAAGTTGCCCCAAGAATGGGATGCCCTTTGTAGAGAGGTGGGGCGTCCAGGATGTACCTGTAAGAAGTGAGACCAGAACTTAGGCTGGGGCCTAAGGAGTGGCAAAGCCAGGCGTTTCGGTGATCTGGGATGGGACTGAGTTAGGTGCAGTTGGCCTGGGGATGCAGCCGGCTGTGGGTGGTGCCTCGGGATTGCCCTGAGCCTGACCTCCCTCCCCTTTGTCTACAGCAGATCAACCAAGATTTGAACATCCAGCTGCTGAAGGACGGCTACCGGTTAGATGAGATACCTGATGACGAGGACCTGGACCTCATCCCCCCCAAGTCCGTGAACCCCACCTGCATGTGCTGCCAGGCCACGTCCTCCACCGCCTGCCATATTCAGTAGCGGGCGGGGCATTTGCGGCCGCCTGGGGCAGGGCCCCCGAGGGTCAGGCTGGACAGGGTAGGGGCCAACCCCTCCCCAGCTCTTCTGCCTGCCCCCGGCCCTGTGTCCCCTACAGCCGCCAACCTCGTAACAGTCATTGCTTCCTCCTATGGTAGGACGTGTACCTCTGTGTGTTCATGGAGCCGGAGAAACCAAAACCGGGTCTTTCTCCATCCCGGGGGCTGAGGAGCGGTGGGGGCTGTTTGTTCAGTTACTTGGGGGACCTTGCCCAGCACCCTGCCCCGCCTCCCCAAAGCTGCAGTGGGGTAGGGGAGAGAAAGGACTAGACATCAGGGAGGACAACACTAATGGGTGGGGGAGGGATCACGAAGCCAGGGGCTTGGCCCCACCCCAGTGAAGCCATGAGTCCCCCAGCCCAGCCTGACAAGGAAAGGGGCTGGGAGGGAGAAAGGTCCAGGGCTGTGGGAGCAGGGCCCAGCACCTCAGAGCCCCTTCCACATGCCCCCTGCCGGCCCATATAACTTTTTGTGTTTCCCCCTCATCTCCAGATGGGAAGCCTGGCAAAGCTGCCCAGTGGAATACTGCCCCATCCTTAGAATCACTGCCTTCTTCCTCCTTTTTGCCCCATTCACCCCATTCCGTACTCTCTGGGTCATGGAGGAGGGTAAGGTGGGCCTTAGAGATAGGCCAGAGTTTGGGGTGATATGATCTGTCCTCACCCACCCCCCAACCACTGCATCTATTTCTCTGCCGACTCCTCCCATCCCCTATGCTTCTGTTCATTGGTCTCCATCCCAGCCTGGAAGCCGGAGGTAAGGCTGGGCCCCGAATGCCCCATTCCCATCTCTCTCTAGCCCAAGATCCCAAAATGCTGCTTCCTAGTAAGAATCTTCAAGGAAGCAAGTTTAGGAGAATATAGTGGTTGCATTGCATGTTTACGGTAGGGAGAACCTGGCAGAATGGGTGTGTGTCTGAGGCTGGCAGGGCATGTATCTGTGTCTATGTGTTGGGAGAGGTCTGTTTCTGTCACAGATGTGAGTGTCCGTGGTGGGGAAGTGACTGTGTGGTCTGTTAACAGTGTAAGAGGCTGCTTGGCAGTGGACTGAGAGCCCTGGACCTGAAGTCAGAGGCTGGGGTTGTGGCCCTGGCTCTGGCACCCTTTCTGTGATCTTCAGCAAGTCACTTGTGTTTTCTGGGCTTCAGTTTCCTCAACTGTAAAATGAGCAGTGTCTGAAATTATTTTTAAGATCTTTTCAAACCTAAAGGAATTTCTTCATAGGAATTTCCATAGAGGTGTGTAGGAAGGTCTCTATGTGTCTTTGAATGCACCTCATGGGCATCCTGAGTTGTATGTCTATGTGAAAAGGAGAGGGGAAGTTCCTAAGGGACCTGTGTATGTTTGGGATCTTTTTGGGAATACATGTGTGTGTGTCTGTGAACATGTATGTGTGGGAGGGTATATGTTGTGTGTGTAACTCTGTGAAGTGTCTGTGAGTCAGAATGTGTGTACTGCTGCTTCTGCTGCTGGTGCTGGTCGGGGGGAGAGGGCAGAAAAGCTGAGGATGAAAATCAAGAGCGAGGAGGTTACCAGGCCCACCCACTACTCCCCACCCCTGCCAACTGGGCATTGTAGACCTGCCCCTGTGTGAAGAAAAATGAAAGCACAGATAGCCTAAGACTGCTCAGGTTTCATGCCCACAAGCACCATATCCAAGGACCAGGGTATACACTCCCCATCCCTCCATGCTGACAACCCACACATGTTGGTGTATCCACTCTCATATGTACCACTCACGTGCTGCAAGCATGCAAGAGGACACATGTACAGCCCACTCCCTGGATGTCATTCCTGGGAGATGGGAGCTGAAGGAGGGGGAAGGTAGTGAGAAGAAAGAATGAGGCTGCTGGCTTAGGAAGGGTAGCACCTCTCTGTGCACCACACCTATGGACTGCCAACTCCAAAGTTTTGAGGTGCAGCGCTCTACCTTCAGTTCCTCCAACCCATCCCTACCTCCTCTAGCAGCGACCCTGGTTAAGTGGTGAGAAAATGCCAAAGGGAGGCAAGAACAAAGAAGGCACTTGCAGGGCCTACAGGGCTCGTACTGGCCCCCATCTGAGCCTATCTCTCCCATCCTGGTCAGCATCCCCATCCTGTCATCTGGGCCCCAGAGCCAAGCTTCCTACCACTACTACCATCACCCTGGGCTCCCTGATTCACCCTTCTAGAACATGGGTACCTCCTCTTTTCTGGACAGGGCCCCCATGAGGGCTCATATAGATTGCTGCCTTTGCTGCTGACTTGCTCTATGACTGGCCCACTGCTCAACCTCTCTGGCCCTGAGAAATCAGGGAAAAGTTCCCTACCCACAGGACATACTAGTTCCCTGGCAGGCAAGGGCTTCCAACTGAGGCAGTGTACAAGTGGTGGAGAGAAGTAGGAAGCTGGCAACCAGCACCTTCTGGGTCTAGGAGAGTGTGTGGTTCCCTCCTTCCCTATCTGGGATGTTGGAGGGGAGGAATCGAGGCCTTAGCTTGCCCCCCTGTCATCCTTCCCCCTTGTAGATACTGCCTTAACACTCCCTCCACCCTCAGCTCTGGCTGCCAACCAGCCAGGTTTCTCCGTGCTCACTAATTTATTTCTAGGAAGGTGTGTGGAAGACATGAGCCGTGTATAATATTTTTTTTAACATTTGCATTGCAGTATTGACCATCATCCTTGGTTGTGTATCGTGTAACACAAATAATGGTATTAAAAGCATCAAATAAGCCAGCCTCAGCTCCCTACCTGGGTTGTGGGCAAGGGGAAGGTGGTCTGGGAAGGAGAGAGAACTGATTCTCTGAATACACATTTCAGTCTGCCTCCACTCATGGGTTCGAGGCCAGGCCTGCCACTGACCTTCTACATGACCCTGGACAAGTCGCTTGATGCCTCGTAACCTCCATTTCTCTTCATCAAAGTGAGAAGTTTGGCCGAGAAGATCTCCAGAGACCTTCTGAACTCTTGGGCTTGGAAGTTGGGCTTTTTTAAAGAGGCTTGAGGTGGGGCGCCTGGGTGGCTCAGTCGGTTAAGGGTCTGACTTCAGCTCAGGTCATGATCTCGCCATCCGTGAGTTCGAGCCCCGCGTCAGGCTCTGTGCTGATAGTTCAGTGCCTGGAGCCTGTTTCAGATTCTGTGTCTCCCTCTCTCTCTGACCCTCCCCCCCGTTTATGCTCTGTCTCTCTCTGTCTCAAAAATAAATAAACGTTAAAAAAAATTTTTTAAATAAATAAATAAATAAATAAATAAATAAAGAGGCTTGAGGCAGTAAGAGGCTGGGGGTGGGAAGGGAATTGGATCTCCTCATCTCTCCAGGGATGGGGCTGAGCCAGGTGATATCATAATGGGCAGTGCCCATCCTAGAGGGGAAAGCAGGGTGGGGTAGGAGCAGGAAGGTTGTAGGGGAGAGAAGCTGAGAGATCCTCCATAGGAGGGGTCACAGCAGCTAGCGGCACCTGCCGGGGTTGGAGGTGTGGGCTATCTGGGAGGTGGTGGAGGTCACTGATGTCTTACAGGAGTCCTTGGTAGGTAAAGCCCACCACGACATCCCCTAGACCTCACTATGTTCCTCTTCTCCCGTAAGACCAAGACCCCCATCAGCACCTACAGTGACTCCTACAGGGCTCCAACCTCTATCAAGGAGGTCTATAAAGACCCACCTCTGTGGGCCTGGGAAGCCAACAAGTTTGTGACCCCGGTAAGTGGGGGCTGGGTGGGCTGGCAGGCCAGAGTGTATGGTCATGTGTGTCTGAATGACTGGTAGTGTGTGGTTGTCATTATGTGTTTGTAATTATTTGTAGCTGTGTGTGTGTGTGTGTGTGTGTGTGTGTGTGCGTACACACGCGTGTGTGTGTTTTATTCATTTGCCTAGTCATGGAATTTATAATAATATATAAAATAGTACAAAATTCTGCCCTCATGGTGCCCTGTTACCCCAACAGAGGAGGAGGGGAAAGACAGATAATTATCAAGAAATAAACAAGTTTTATAAATTATCCAAAATGCTATGTAGGAAATAAACAGATTAATGGAAATAGAAAGTAACCAGGCAGAACTACTTAAATAGAGGGGTCATGGAAGAGCTCTTTCTCGTGGTGACATTGAACTGAGACTGGAAAGATAAGAGAGAAGAACTAGCTCTGTGAAGAGCTCAAAGAATAGGGTTCCAGGCAGAGTGATCAGAAAATGCAAAGGCCCTAAGGCTGCCTGTGGGATATGCCAGGAAATGTGCTATAGGCATGTTTTCATGAATATGTATCACAATCTTCTTGTGTCTGTATGTCTGTGCTTGAAGGTAAGTGGTCAAGTGGGTCTGTGCTGCTTTCACAAAATGGAGACAAGATCTGTGAGTCTACTTGTGACTCTGCTTAAGAGAATTTATCTGTGTGTACCATCCAACAAATGGTGAGTATCTACATGTGCCAGGCACAATGCGGATACGACAATGAAAGCCCAGGCTGTGCCTTTGAAGAGCTCTCAGCAAACAAGGAAACAAAGTAGGGTTGCCCAGTGGATGTACTGGTACAAGAGCTGGAAAGGGGAAAGCATTCCTGGGCAGGTCTACTAAAAGATACTGAAGGAGGAGGCTTCCAGCAGAAAAGAGTTATGGGAAAGGGCAACCTAGAGACAGGGATCCACCAGGAATTAAGAACCGGAGCAGAGAGAGAGGCTAGCCTATGGTGAGAGGAGCCACAGTGGTAGGAGATTTGGAGGCAGAGTTGGGGCTCAGGGCTAGGCTCACAGTGAGGCGGTGAAGGATGAGGGAGGAGGGTATAGGTGAGAGATAAGGAGAGACTGACAGTGAAAAAGGAATTTTTTTAATAGGAGAGAATTTTTTAAATACTGTTTATAAAATAAATACATGCTCAATGCAGAAAATTGGGATAACTCAGACAAGCACAAAGAAGAAAGGCCTATAATCTCAGTATCCAAATTAACCATTGTTAATTTATTATTATATGCCCTTTCAGGAAGCAAGTATCTTTTATGGAAATGGTGTCACATTGTATGCTAACATTTTGAATCTTGCTCTTTTCACATAACCACATATCCAGGTACATTTTCTTGTGTAAAAATATTCTATAATGTCATTTTAATGACTCTATGGTATTTTATTTTATGAATGTACTAAAATATATTTAAGGAATCTTATTGGAAATTTATATTATTTATAAAATTTTGCTAGTATAACCATTTGTGTACATCTGTAGACTTCAACTATTTTCTTAGGATAAATTCTCAAACATGAAATTGTTGGGGGAAATGATATACACACTTCAAAAACTTTTGATACACACTTCAAATTGCTATAATAAGGGTTATATGATTTACATGCCCATAAGAAAAATATGAGAGTGCCTGCCTGCTTTTTGACATTCAATAAGAGGGAATTTTAAAAAGTAGAACAATAGCTTTTGGTCACCATCTAGATATAAAGAAGAAAGGACAGATAAGGAATACTCCTGGGTTTGGGGCTCTGGCAACTGGAGGAGAGTTCTATCAACTGAGATTTGGAATTGCAGATTAAAAAGAGATTCAGAGTTCATTTTGGGACAAAAATATTCAAGGACTTCCAAGAGATATCTGGTGAGTAGTTGGATATACTTATGTGAAGCAAAGGGAAGAGGTTTGGCCTACAGATACAGATTTTGAAATCAACATACCGTGGTAGCTAAAGTCATAGGAGTGAACGAGATTGCCAAGGAAGAGTAAGAAGGAGGTCAAGGGTGGACTTCAGAGAATATTGATTGTTTAAGAGGAAAGTAAAGGAAGAAAGTAAAGATGTGGATCTCTTGGATATAGTAACCCTTAGTAATCTGGCCAGACAGCTTCAGTGAGTGGAGACGTGTGAAATCCAGACAGCAGTGAGATTAAAAATGAAGGAAAGGCTTCTCCTTCTGGTAGTATGGTGACCTAGAAACTCTAAAGGGCCCTCCTGCTTCAAAACGACTAGGTCTTGCATAACAGTTTTTATTTTGTTTTGGACTCTCATGCAGATGAGTGGTAAGTATACTTAGAAGGAGGCCCTGAGGATGAATGCCAATATCAGCCCTATAAGCAGGAGTTTATAAGCTAGCTGAAAGGTGAAGAAACTAAATCTTAAACTCCAAACTGAACCAGAAAATTTAGTGATCTCTGGGTCCCTTCCCCCACAACACACATACACACACACATGCACACATGATGAATGTATATCTTCTGTAGTGGAAAATATCCTGAATGTAGGCTTCCAAATATCTTTCAGAGTAAAGTCAATCAAATCTGAGTGCACAATAAGAGATAAAAGGAAACAAACCACCATATGACAGCAGAAACAACAGAAAACAGACTAAAACCACCAAGGACTTCAGATATTGCCTTAACAGTTAAAGAATACAAAATAATTATTATGAAATATTAAAAATAAAATGTGATGGGGTGCTTGAGTGGCTCAGGCAGTTAAGTGCCCGGCTTCAGCTCAGGTCATGATCTCACAGCTCGTGAGTTCGAGCCCTGCGTCAGGCTCTGTGCTGACAGCTCAGAGCCTGGAGCCTGTTTCGGATTCTGTGTCTCCCTCTCTCTCTGCCCTTCCCCACTCACACTCTGTCTCTCTCTCCTTCAAAAATAAATAAACATTAAAAAAATCATTTAAAAAATGAAATCATCAAAATGAGCAAGCAACAAGTGATTATATTTTTTAAAGACCAGACAAATGTAAAAAAGAACCAAATGGAAATTTTAGAAATAAAAAATATACGTGTTAAAACCAAAAACTCAAATAAAAATAAAAAAACAAAAACTCAGTGGATGGGTCAAAGGGCAGATTAGACACAGTTGAGCATCAATGAAATGACAGAAACAGACATTCCATGCTCATGGATTAGAACAAATATTGTTAAAATGTCTCCACTATCCAAAGCAATCCAAAGCAGGATTTAATGCAATCCCTATCAAAATACCAACAGCATTTTTCATAGAACTAGAATAAACAATTCTAAAATTTGTATGAAACCACAAAAGACCCCAAATAGCCAAAGCAATTTTAAAAAAGAAAACCAAGCTGGAGGCATCACAATTCCAAACTTCAAATTATATTAAAAACTGTAGTAATCAGGGGCACCTGGGTGGCTCAGTCCATTGGTTGACTGACTTTTGATTTCGACTCAGGTCATGATCTCATGGTTCGTGGGTTCAAGCCCCACGTTGGGCTCTGTGCTGACAGTGTGGAGCCTCCTTGGGATTCTCTCTCTCCCTAGCTCTCTGCCCCTCCCCCTGCTTGTGCTGGCTCTATCTCTCTCAAAGTAAATAAACATTTTTTAAAAAGCTGTAGTAATCCAAACAGTATGGTGCTGGCACAAAAATAGACACAAAACAATAGAACAGAATAGAAAACCCAGAGATAAACTCACAACTATATGGTCAATTAATCTTTGATAAAGCAGGAAAGAATATCCAATGGAAAATGGAAGTCTCTTCAACAACTGGTGTTGGGAAAATGGGACATCAACATGGAACAGAAAGAAACTGTACCACTTTCTATACACAAAAAGTTCAAATGGATTAAAACATAAATGTGTGACCTGAAACCATAAAAATCCTAGAAGAGTACACAGGTAGTAACCTCTAACATTGCCTGTAGCAATTTTTTTTTTCTAGATATGTCTCCTGAGGTGAGGGAAACAAAAGCAAAAGTCAACTATTAGGTCTACATCAAAATAAAAAGCTTCTGCATGGCAAGGAAACAATCAACAAAACTAAAAGGAAACCTTACAGGAGATGCCTCAGTGACTCAGTCAGTTAAGCTTCAGACTCTTGGTTTTGGCTCAAGTCATGATCTCATGGTTTGTGGGATGGAGCCCTGAGTAAAGTTCTGCACTGGCAGTGTGGAGCCAGCATGGGATTCTCTCTCTCCCCCTCTCTCTGCCCCTCCTCAGCTCTCTCTCTCTCTCTCTCAAAGTAAATGAATAAACTTTTCAAAAAAATTTTTTTAATTTTTAATTAAAAAAAATTTAAAGGCAATCTACAGAATGGGAGAAGGTATTTGCAAATGACATATCCAATAAAGGGTTAATATCTAAAATATATAAAGAACTTTTAAAACTCACCCACAAAAGAAATAATCCAATTTTTAAATGGGCAGAAGACAAGAACAAATATTTCTCTAAGGAAGACATACAGATGACTAAAATCA